CCCGCCGCGGCTACCCCGCCCACCGGGCCGGCACCGCCGCTTCCCTCTTAGAGCCCGGCTCCCTCGAGGGCACATTTATAGACACGGATTAGGAAAAAGGTATTAAGCAAGAGACGCATATTACAATCCAGGGGCTTTACGGGGGGGGGCGGATTTGCTTGGCTTTCTTTCTCAGGCGCTCCTGAGGGCTTTAACAGAAAAGTTTTAAGTTTGAGCTGGACACTAATTAGTCGCGCGGAGGAAGCTCTTGTCTCCTCTTTCTTTCCTGGAGGAGAATTAAAGCGCTCTCCATCGGCGTTGCTTCGGATTCTCGGGGCGTGGAGTGGATTAATGCTGGGCCCCATGGCAGAAGTTCTTCTGGGGAGGAGAAGGGTTGAGGCAAAATTCCCCCCCCCCTCCTCCTCCTTGGCTACATTGAAACGCGGAGCAGTAATGTCATCTCTATTCTGGCCGAACAATGGTTTATCTATTCAGACTTCGATAGAGTGGGAAAGCTGTCCACGCTACCAGCTGAAATTTATTGCCAGACCTGGAGGCAATCTGTGTTCCCTTTTCAGCAGCTTCTGTTAAAATCGATTTTTTACAACATAACAGCTTTCCCACAGAAGGATGTTCCGAGGGCAAAATAACGCAGACACGTACTCCTGATTAAAATAGGAGTGGTCCATTTTGTCTATATATGAGTTCATGAAGGATTTCCTCGCCGCCCCCGTTTCTTTTTCATCTTCTGTTCTGTTCTTTTCTCTTTTTTTTAATGCCATCCCTCTGCCACACAAACGGCTTGGGTTCGGAATCACACGTTTTAAAAAGAGGTTTGAAAACCAATCTCGACGGACTAAGGCTCCCACGCTGGGACCTTAATACCCCTAAGTAAGCTATTCCAAATATAGCGAACAATTAGGATTAAGAGGAGGAAGAAAATTGATGCAGTTACTCACAAACCCCCCATTCGAGTTCTCTCTCTTTCAATGTCTTTTGCCCCCCAAATTTAAAAAAAATCAGCAGAAAAGGAACTTTCTCCCCACCACCAGCGCCGCAAAACTCTTCCCACCATACTCTTGCCTGGACAGGTATACTCATTGGAAAGCTACTGAGATGTTCACGGATTTCCGCGAAGACGCTGTCCAGGTTAATCCCAAGAATAGGCGTATATTACACATCAAAAGAGACCAGCGATCAGATCCCATCCCTCCCTTTCAAAGACACAAAATGTCATATAATCGAGAGAGTAAGAAAGCATAAAAATCAAGTAAATAAAATCTTCTCATTCAACAGATAAAGGCAAGGAAAAAAGTTTACCGTGCAAATGTGCCTCGTGGCTTGGAGAACGTTGACACGCGTTGGCTTCCCTCCCCCAACACTGCAGTGTTTTTGTCAGCAGTCCCTCAAAATTTGGTTCTGAAGCAGCCGTGTGGAAGTAAGAGCCATACACTTGGTTTATATAGCACCCTCGCTGCCTGTCCTTTGGAGTGCTATTGACTTCAGGTGGGTGGCAGGCAACTAAGCCCTCTCTTAATCATTCTTCTTCAGCTCAACAAGGGTCTCCTCCCTCCCTCCTTTCTTTCTTTTTCTTTTTCATGACAAACTTCCTGCTCCCCACTTGTCCCCCTGAGGAGACCAATTCAGAGCCATCAATTGAGATGACTCTCAGCTACTTGTGAAATTAGATTGTCACACAGATTAGGGGCTGTACGAGACTCATATATTTGTAGTGTCTCTTTCTTTTTTAGATGAGGACTCCCAAATATGGATGATTTAGGGAGCATGTCGGAGTGGAAGGATATGCAACAAGAAATTTTTTGGTGTGTGTGTGTGTCTCTTTCTCTTCTAGAACTAAATGAAGGCCTCTTCTGCTTCAAGTAACAATTTGGGTAAAAATAGCTCACAACAGCTGAGTCCGCTTTGGGAGAAAAGATGGTCAAAAATCCAAAAAACTGTATGTTAATATCTGGGCATGTCAAAAAATGGAGACTAAAAGTTTGTGATCTGGCTTGAATGGCAGGCAATATATTGCAGTGTACGTGTTAGTTTGCCTAGTGTATCATAAAGGGATCAGAGAGGCTCATAATAGCCACAGTTCAACAAAGAATTAAGACCATTAAAAAACCATTGAAATCTATGAGCATTTAAATGAAATTAGAAATGTCTGCAAAGGAAATGGTATATTATAGGTATATACTGTTCCCTCCTTTGCTGGAGGGAAGGTGGAGTACCACAGGACATGAAAAATGCAAACATTGTCACATTGTATAAGAACAAAGGAGACAAGGGCGACTGTAATAACTGCTGTGGCATCTCTCAGTGTTGTAGGGAAGCTATTTGCCCATGTCGTGCTGAAAAGACTCCAGGTGCTTGTGTCACATTGTATAAGAACAAAGGAGACAAGGGCGACTGTAATAACTGCTCCACTGACATGGTATTTTCCCTCAGACAGTTGCACGAGAAATGTAGGCAACATAGGGTTAGCAGGGACGGCCTTTTTAAAATACTTCCCAAGATTGGATGTCCACCTCGACTCCTTAACATCATCAGGTCATTTCATGAGGAAATGAAGGCCATTGTAGTTTTTGATGGCTCAACATCAGATCCCTTTGACATCTGAAGTGGAGTGAAACAGGGCTGTATCCTCGCGCCAACCCTTTTTGGGATCTTTTGTGCTGTCATGCTGAAACATGCCTTCGGAACTGCAACAGAAGGTGTCTATCTCTGGACTAGATCAGATGGAAAGCTCTTTAATCTCTCAGAGGTCTCAAACTCAATTTACCTGGGGGCCGCTGGAGGCAGAGTCTTGGTGAGGCTGGGCTGCATCAGATTTTCCGCCAAGCGGAGCAAGAGACGAGGAAGCCGCCCAGGAGTTTCCTTAGCCCGGCTGGGGCTCTGAGAAGGAGGAGGAGGAGGAGGAGCGTGCAAGTCCTCATCACCAGCCACGGCCCCCTCTGGCTCTCCCCGGCCACGACCCCCTCCGGCTCCTTCTTCACTTCCACCACCAGCAGCAGCAGGACGAAGAAGTGGAGAAGGGAGGCGACCGCTTAGTGGGGGGAGAGGGAGGGCACGACATACATTTTTTTTAAAACCCTCATAGAATCGCCTTGCCAAAGAAGAAGCTGGCAAGTGAGGCAAGGCTTTTTTTGACTCTTGACAGCAGAGGATGCGTGGGTGCTTCGGGGGGGCAGGCAAGGCGAGGGCCACAAACTATCATCCGCCAGGCCGCAAATGGCCCCCGGGCTGCATGTTTGAGACCCCTGCTGTGAGAGTGAGGACCAAAGTCCATTTGAAATGCACGTGGGACTTCCTCTTCACTGATGATGCAGCTGTTGTTGCCCATTCTGCTGAAGACCTCAACAACTCATGAATCATTTTGGCAAGGCCTGCCAAGATTTTGGATTAATAATCACCCTGAAGAAAACACAAGTCATGGTCCAGGGCGTGGACTCACCTCCCTCTATTACCATCTCCACACAAGAATTGGAGACAGTTCATGACTTTGCGTACTTTGGCTCAACAATCTCTGATACTTTCTCCCTAGATGTCAGCTGAATAAACACACTGGCAGCTGCCATGTTCTCTAGACTCACAAAGAGAGTCTGGCTTAACAAGAAGCCGACGGCATATATCAGGATCCAGGTCTCCAGAGCCTGTGTCCTGCTCACAAAGAGAGTCTGGTTTAATAAGAAGCCGACAGCATATATCAAGATCCAGGTCTACAGAGCCTGTGTCCTGAGTACACTCCTGTACTGCAGTGAGTCCTGGACCCTTTGTGCACGGCAACAAAGGCAACTGAATTGGGAGCCTGTGCAGTACTTTCCTTCCTTCACATTTTCTTCTTTCTTATGCTAGGGCATTGTGACAGCCACCTTCTAAAAAGTACAAAGCTGAAAGATTCTGAGACAATATGTTCTGAGAAATTTTGTCTGAAAACTGGTAGTCATTCTTCAGGATTCAAAACCTTCCTTGGAGCTTCCCAAATGTTACATTTTGGAGACATTATTCTAAATACATTTTGTTCCAAGTGCTGTAGGTGCTTATAATACAGCTTCTTCCATATAAGCTCTTTGGCAGGTATGAGCGACAGCGGTACTATCTGTTGCTCCAGGAAAAAGTGGTGAAGCTAGTACTATGCCATAATTGTCACCCAGTCTTCCAAAAGTTTTGTTTTTCTAAGAAAGAGGATTACATTTTCTACCTTATACTGAGGCTTTTAGGAATTTCTTTCGGTAATGTCTTTGAGCTAACCACAACACTGGAAAGTGGCCAAGAATGTGACATTTCCAAACCTGCCCCCTTTTTTCCCTATTACACATGCCTTCGTCACTTTGCCACTACTGCAGTTGTCCATCCTTCTGGATGTGAAAAAAACCTCATGGGAGGAGTTTCCTTAGTGTATTCCCTGGACATTAACTGAATGTGGGAATCTAAGGAAAGAGCTGTCTGTCAAAGAGGTTGGTGTACAATAATAGTAATCAAAAAGGACATTTTCATGCATTTCAGCAATCTCATAAACTTGGGACTTCTACATTGGGAGCAACATGGGATCCATTGAGGGTAACAATAACACTTCTGAACTTCATTCTTGAGAACATTTCTTTTTGTTTAAACTCTTTCCAAAAGGAATTTCTGTGCTATCACTGAAAGAGATCAGTTGAATAATGTTCACCATTAAGGAAAGGCAGCTGTTGAATAGGGAGTAAAATTGAGCATCCTGCTTAACTTGGGATGGGTACAACCGGTAAGAAGCTAATCAGTCTACGTACTGAATCTCTTGCAATACATCTCAGTATCATACAAAAGGACTACATAATATAAGTCTG